TATATTTTTTTGGTACGAAACGACATATTAGAATTCAGAAGAGTTAATATTTTAATATACCTTAAATATAAATACATCTAAGGCGGCACTAATATTAAAGTCTTTTGTCTTGATTCTGGTCTACCATCGTTTAAAAACAATAATACTAAAAAAAAAGATATTCCATTTATTAAAAAAAAATTTTTTATGAGTTATTGTACCTAGAACTGAGAAATCTTATTTTAACAGTAATTATAGGGGTGCAGGAAACGGAACGTGGTGTGAAGGCAACAAAATTATTCAAAAGTAATGAATAATCGGTACAGTAAGTAACTTAGGTGCTTTTAATGATCTTATAATTGTTAATAACTTAATATTTAAGTTATTGTTGGCATTTCAGGATCATTAGATGCTTTCGGCAAATAAAAAAAAAACAGTTAAGTTATTTAGTATGGTAAAATTATAGTATTTTGCATAGGTTTATAATTATTACTACACAAATTCAGAAATTTTCTGTAATAAAAAAAATAAGCATAATAGAAGACCGTGGACAAGAGTTATTCACAAACTATCAGTTTTATATATTAAATAGGGATTTCAGTCTAAGTTAAAAAATAGGATACAGCTAATGGTCTAGTTCCAAGGTCTTCAATTGCTTTATTTTTAAATCCAGGATCATCAATAGGAACTTCGGAGTTAAGCTAACATTGTGCAAAAGCTCGTAAGAAGTCCGTTACATAACGCTCTCTAAACGAACTCTCTTTTTTCTATTCTGACCAACTCCAAAATACTACAGACATGGCAAACTTAAAGCCAAAAGTAGAAGGTAAGTTGGACAATGAAATAGTCAAGTTGAAACCAAAATTACAGATACAGTGAAAAACTACAAAAAAAAAAAAATATAAAAGAAAGCAAAGATCTGAAAAGTCAATTCAGTAATATGGAAGAACTTAAAGAACTGAACCTTGAGGCAGAAACTGTAAGCAAAAATAAGAAACCCGAGGATCCAAATGCCCAGGAAAAACCCCAACTACCCGACTTAACAAATAAAGTGATTATTACAGAACTGCAAGAAAGGCAATCAAGGACAAACAATATATTAATATTTGGGGTTCCAGAAACAGAAAGCAACAATACCGAAGGACATAAAAGTCAGGAAAAAACGATATAAAAAGTAAAGCAGTTATGCAAAAGTAGTAGTAATGAAACAGCAAAATTATATCGTTTAGGAAGATAAGAAAGAAAAAAAGAAAATAAAACCATTCAAAGTAGTACTTTCAACAATAGACGTAGCAATCCAAATATTAAGAAACAAGAGTTCAGGTACCTACATAGAAGAATTAAAGGAGACTGATAGAAACTTGACAAGTGTACCAGCGGATATTACACCTGTGATAACATCTTCCAGGCCAGCACATCAAGCACCTTGAGAGGTTACTCAAAGAAATTAGATAAAGAAAAGTATAATAAACTGCAAAGAAAAATTTTATTACAATGGTCTTCAGGAACATACGGTCTCAGCCCAGAACATAAACCTGTTCAAGGCGAGAGTGGATAAAGAACTCGTAGAAGGAAGAATTAATTTTATTCATTTATATCAAGTTTTAACTGTCTTGTAGTAATTTAAAATAATTTTTGTCACTAACTAAAATAGCAGCTTTATCGACTATGTTGCTTGCCTGTTTTTAACAATAATAATTGTTCAGTGTAGAATCCTCATTGAATGTGAGAGACAACATACTTAATATTGACCAAAAAAAAATCACATTTGGGCTGGTATCCTAGGTGACCATATTATTGGTCTGATTTTTATTAAAGAAAATTTGACAGCCCAAAGATATTTAAATATGATTAGAGACGACGTTGTTCCTGTTTTGGCAAACATATCCAAATGAAAATGTTTGTTTCAACAGGACGGGGCAACACCCCATTATGCTGCAGATGTAAGAGCTTATCTAAACGAAATATTTTCGAATAAATGGATTGGACAAAGAGGTACTCTATTGAGTGGCCAGCTAGATCACTAGATCTAACGGCATTGGATTTTTGTCTGTGGGGTTACTTCGAGGATAAAGTATATGCAACACAACCAACTAGCATTGCAGATCTAAGAGAAAGGATAACAGAAATAAGGAATATTTCACCTCAAACAGATTGGGTTATTGTCAAGAATTGGGTGGAGAACAGTTGAGCATTTACTTTAATCAAATAAATCAGGTATTTTAGGTATTTATTTTCATAAAAGAAATGAAAAATTGTTAATACAGGAAATGAGGGGGGTCAGCCTTAATAAAAGGGATGACAAAATACCTAGTCTGTCAATATTTGAAAAATGGGACCTGGATTAGAAAATAACGCATTTGCTTTTAAGTTTGTCACAGAACAATTTCTGTCAAAAATTACTCATTTTTAGACCAGATCTTAAAATAGTGTGATGTAGTTAGTACCTGTAATAATCGGAATGTGTATATAAAGGTTTACAAAAAAAAAACATTCAAACTAAAGATATAAGATCTTTAAAAGAAAAAAAAATTACATATATATTTTTTTAAATAAAAGGGCGTACAATATAGCCCAAAAAAAAAAATGTATACAAACTGCGTATGGAGCGTGGATTTGAAAATAATAATATATAATCTTTGGAGTGAAACAAGAATATCTTGTTACTTTTTTGCATAAATCACAACAAAAACTACAAAAATATACATACATAAAAATAAAATAATATTATTTTGACTTAAAAGAACATATAAGGCGATTCTGAAACTCGAGTATTACAGTCAGCAGTGACTAAAAAGATGTCCAGAGTTTTGATAAGGAAACCATTAGGTTTTTTAAGATTACATGCCTTTCCCAGTTTCGAATTTTTTAAAACAATTGTGACAAAAATTGTGTATTTTTTATTAATAAATCCAAAAATCGTCCAATTTTATATATACAGAGTTTTCAGCAGTATACATATCCCACGTGATCGGCTCTGTCACAAAATAGCGGTGAACTAAATAGCGATATTGTTTGAGCGCCTGATCAAAATAGCACTGAATGAAATAGCGCTTAATCACAATATCGCTTATCAATAGACCATCAGTCAAAACGGCGCCCGATCGAAACAGAGCCTTTTGAAATAGTGAGTAATGAAACACAATCAGTTCGAAATAGCTCTATCAAGAAATATCGCCGAATAAAATAGCACTATTTACATAAATTAATTAAAAAACATAATTAACCTAACCTATGCGGTCTGAGGCCATTTAAAATTAAACTATAGTTTACGCACAATAGATATGGAAAAGTTACAGTGGACCAGGACATATAATGTCAAACTCCTTTAAAATCTAATCTAAATACAGGTTAGGTAAATTAGTTTTTTTTAATTATCTCTTTTCGACACCCCCATCGAAGAAGGTTATAACCCAATTTTAGTTATTTGACAGTAGACAGCTGTTTTTTAATATTTGTTGAGAAACTATAACACTCTAATAGTTAACAAATAGGACAATTAGAATATAGTGGAGGTTACTTATGAGATAGATAATGAATGTTTAAATTTTATAAATCATTAATAAGTTGAGTTTGATTGATACAATCTTGAAAATAAAGAATAAGGCAGTGAGTAAGATACAACTATAGTACAATAAGAAATAAGCCTCATTTTACTAAATACGCATGTGGCTGAATAAGGACGTATTATGAGTTATAACCTTCGATAAGGGTGTCGATTTTATGTAATTTTTAGCGAATTAACCCGCACAGGTTAGGTAAATTAGTTAAGGTATTTTTTTAATCATTTAATGTTACCATCGCTCTTTTGATACGTGATATTTCGTTACGGAGCCCACGTGATCTGGTAAAACAAGAAATTTAATGAAAATGGTTGTTCTTAGTGACTTTTATGACAAAGTAAAAGTCAGTTCTGTTAAAGTACTCATGTGTACTTTACAATGAGTAGCTTCACAAAGTACTCATAAAAATCTGAATATGAGTACTTATAGGAATAATACTCAAAGTAAATGAGTACTTTTGCAAATTTTAGGGAGTACTCATGAAAACATGAAATAACGAGTATGAGTACCTTACATATTTTAAATAATTATTCTAGGTAGTAATTCAGTTTAGAAAAAAGAAATTATACAGGGTGTTTCATAATATATGCGCAGGACTTCAGAACGTGATAGCTCGTCCAAAAATATGAAAAAAACGTTTCTATTAACTTACCCTCTAAAATGGACCATTTTCGAGATACAGGGTGTTGAAATTGAAAAAAAAAAAAAATTCTACGCCACTGGAAAAAGTACGGTTTTGAGACGCCCATTTGAACTGCCAATGTTTTCTACACAAAAAAGGTACTCTTGGTCATACGCTCTAAAGTCGACCGTTTTCGAGAAAAATTAAATCAAGTAGGTTTTAAATTTCAAAATTTAATGTATTGTTGGCGTCGATAAGTTATTTGGAATTGCCTAAGGGTTGTGACTCTGGTGGTAGTGGGATTTCGAAAATTAATGGAATTGTCAAATATATTTTGTGAAGATTAACAGAGAGGGTTTAATAATTGTCAGTTGGAAAATTTAAAAAAAGGATCAAAAATATTATATTGAAGTTGAGGTAGAACTATATTAAAGTTGAAGATTTTATATTGTAGAGATGAAATAAAAAAGAGAAAAAGAAAGATGAAAAAAAGTTTTATTTAAATTAAAGATAAGTGTGAATGAAATAGGAAGGAAAATTGAAGACACTGGTGCAAAAAGGAGGAAACTATTGGTGCAAGAACGAGGCAGCTCTGTTGATTTATACTGGGGTTATATGGAATATATTTTTGTCCCCTACTTCAGTTCGGTGCAAAAAGGAGACAGCTCCTCAACTTATTTTTAAATGCTGTACTGTAATTATTTAAAAGTGTGAAATTTTTACCCATTATTGTGTTCTTTACTAAACTACATCCTGATGTTTACAAAAAAAATTAAATATTCTTAAATTTAAATTGTTTTTACCTCCTGAAAAATTAATAAAAACGGTGCTACCTCCTTTTTGCACCAGTGTCTTCAATTCGTCAGGAGTAAGATAAGAAAGTAAAACGGCAAGAGGAGACCAGGCAGGAAAACAGGAGCTAGAGCAGAAAGCAGAAGAACAGGGAGCAAAAAAACCGAAGCAAAGTGGAAGATATATATATATATTTTCAAATTCAATATTTATTGATTAGTATTATTTTTAGTTTTTTTTTTTAATTTTTGTAGGAAGCCAAAGGAACCATAACCCTAAAAGCTCTGGGGTATTGGAATGGTTTAACCTTTCCAAGGTGGAATCATAATATGTATGCGCATATCGGTACTCGTACTCGTTACTCGTCAGCTGAAGAAATAAAAAGTACTTACGAGTACAAATTACTGACTACTTTGAGTACAATTTACTCAAGTACTGCCCAGCTCTGGGTTACTTTTTGCCAACTAATACTCACTCATGTGGGATATGTTAATTGATTAAGGTTGTATAAATATACAGGGTTGGGCATATTTCGCGGAAAATTTGATTTTTGCTTTATTGAACAAATTACGATAACATTCTCAAATAAGTAGATTTTGTTTTTAGATATGCTCTTTTTGATATAATTATATTTTTATGTTTTTTTGAATGGAAACACTTTTTTGATAATACCAATCAAAATATTACATTTTTTGCATAGGAACACTAAATTTCTTGATGATATTTTCGAGATAAAAATACCAAATAAAAATTTCTTTCTTGAAAATTAAGCGTCAATAAGAGAATAATGTGCTCTTTTAATCAGTACTATCAAATAACGGTGTTGCCATTTAAAAAAAGTGATAACAACGTGATATCTCGAATACGTCTTCAAATCGATGGGTATAGTGTAAAACTATGAGGAGCAACGAAAAGAAGAATATTCATATGAAGCGAGAATAGGAGAGATAAAACAGAAGAAGGCGTTTGGAAATCCCATGACGCCAACCGATCTCATCCGTCTACTCTGACACGCAGAGTGGGATTTAAGGCACATTCGCTTTTTATAAAGCTATCGCAGTTCTACTTGTTAATCGGCAATACCCAAGAAAAAATAAATCATTCAGTAGGGCCTGTCAAAAACTTTCTTAAATTGACATTTCTAGTAACTATCGAAAATGGATCAAATATTTCTTAACTGATCGCTTTCGGCGTGTTTTGGTTTATGACTCAATGTCTTGTGATATACATCAATGACGTCCGGTGTTCCTCAACGTTCCCACATTGGGCTCTTTTTATTTATATTGTTTATAAACGATGTAACAAATTGCTATCTTTTGTTTGTAATAAAAAAAAATAGTGATAACATGAAAAAATATAAAAAAAAAAAATTATTTTAGCTACAACTAAAAAACAAAATTTGAGTATTTTTACGGAATTTGTTCAGTAAAGACAGAAATCTGGTTGGTATTCACCAATTATACCCAACCCTGTATACTAACTATTTATCTTTATAGTAAAACAGTTTTACAAATTTTTTGCATTAGATTAAAAGGCAATAACCAATTCATTTCATCACGGTTTTTTTTTTCAAACAACTATTTTTTTTTAATATGTAATCTTTTTTATCAAAAACTCAGTACTAATGTCATTCTATTATCAAAACTCTCCTTACTGTTTTATCAATACGTCGATAATATTTTTGCTTCAGTTATGTATTTACAAATTTTCATTATTCACTCAATGCACCATTTTCATTTATTCTTCTCTTCTATCAGGAAGTTAGCCTCATGGCACACAGTGAAGTTATATAGAAAAACGAAATTTTGAAGGACTCATAAACACGAGGATCGTTCAGTAATACCTGAGAAAGTTGAAGAGATAGCACTCATATCATCGAAAATAGTTTGTTTTTATTAAGCATAATTATTCACTAGACAGCTGACCAAGTCTCAGTTATATGGTTTCACTTTTATTGTCGATTGGAAGCGAGACACGTTTATTTAGAAAAATACATGGGTTCACACCTGTGCAGTTTCTATAGCTAAAATCATGGAATTAAAGTTCGAATGATTACAATATCCACAACTTATTCACCGGATTTGGCCTCCAGTGACTTTTTTATTTCCACACTCAAAACAATGGCTCAGCAGACAACGGTTCAAGATCATCGTCCAAACGCTTGGAAAAGTATATAGAGCTAAAAATCTACTTAAAATAATTTGTTATTCTATCTTCTTCTAAGGACTGTTTTATCATATCAACGTATTGATAAATATACATATTTAATACGAAAAGAAAAAACATTTCCTAGTTGGTAATAGGCGTTTCAAAAACACCTTATATCGATATTAAATATACTTATGTTTCTAAATATTCACTGGCGACCTGTCATCTTCTTCTTTTTTTTTATTCTCTCACTTTTTTTTTCTTAATCAGATTTCGAATTTTCGCTATAGTCTTCAGTACTGGATCGGATGTCGCCTTCCATCTGGCCGGCGTTCAATGAATTATGGACGATTTTCAAAATTAAATAAGTCCAAATCGAGTGCAGCACCAGAAGAAGGATCAACAAACCGTTAAAAATGTAATAGGCAGGAAACATGGGAACCATTTTGGGAGCTTCGATAGACGTACTGGAAAAATAAAGTACAATTAGATATAATAATAATCGTACAAACTACATAATATCCAATAATTATGCATAGGATATATTGTATTATATTACATATACATTGAACTGAAGATTGGTTGAAACGCCTTGCATTTGAATTTACTATGCAAAGATCTGCGGCTCATTTTCAGCGGCCGAGCTTCTGCCTAATGCAGGCTCGCCTATTGTATACGCATATTTAAAGCCCATGAATTTTTTATAATTGTCAAAATTTTGACATTTCATTACTCAATAAGTTTAAGAAATTCAAACGCGTACAAATGCTCCATAGAAGTCCGAAAATTGTGATTTTTTATTAGGTTCTGTTATTTAGTCAATGACGGTAAATTGAGTGTGACTGCAGCGATAAGTCGTGCTTCCAAAATGAGTGGGGTCAGTGAAAACATCATTTATACCATCAAGAAAGAGGAGAAACAAAACAATAGCGACTTGAACTCTCCTGTAAGAAGAAAAAGCAGATAAGGCAGTAAAATTCACGCGAATATATATATATATGAAGATTGTTTTAAGAGCTTATTGAGAGGAAATCTGTGGTTTTTTTAAACATTCTGCCAACTTTGAATGCAATTTATAATATTTAAAGGAATGATAATTCACCATCGTTTCTTTTTTTACTTTCCTATCTGTATACAGATATAAGGAAAGTATAGGAATCATGATTTTTTTCGACCTCTAGTTTTCGACGGATTTTCACGTTTTGAGGTCCCCTGAATCCGTTTTGACTATTTTCGCGATGATGTCTGTGTGTGTGTGTGTCTGTAGGTCGCATAACTCATGAACCGATACACAGAAAAACACCAAATTTTAAACTTAAGCTTTATTCCAGCATCTAATGAACCGATTAGATTTTGGGCAGAGTCGGAGCAACTGGGGGGTACTTTATAGGTGGTCATTTTTATATTTTATGGAATATATCTGTTATTTACGTTTGGAGAAGAAAATTCTTCAAATAAAAGTTACTTCTTATATAATTATCTATATTTGTTCTATACAAAATTTTCCTAAAATGGTCCGTATTCGAGAAATTTGACAAAATGTAAAAAAAATATTTTTTTATAAAAATTGTTCAAATAAAAGTTGTTTGTAATATAATTCTCTATAATTTTTATTCTATACATAATTTCTCTAAAATGGACCGTATTCGAGATATTTGAGAAAATGTGTAAATTTCGAATTTTGAAGAAAACTCAAAAACGGATAAAGAAAAAAACATTAAATTTAAACTTGAGGTTTATTTCGGCCTGACGTGAAATGATTAGATTTTGGACAAAGTCGGAACATCTAGGGGGGTACTTTATGGGAGGCAGTTTTTAAATTTTATGTAATATGTTTCTTATTTATGTTTGGAGAAGAAAATTGTTCAAATAAAAGTTACTTCTAATATTATTATCTATAATTTTTGTACTATACAAAATTTTCGTAAAATGGTCCGTATTCGAGAAATTTGACAAAATGTAAAAAAAAATATTTTTTTATAAAAATTGTTTAAATAAAAGTTGTTTGTAATATAATTCTCTAAATTTTTATTTTTTACATAATTTCTCTAAAATGGACTGTATTCGAGATATTTGAGAAAATGTGTAAATTTCGAATTTTGAAGAAAACTCAAAAACGGATAAAGAAAAAAACATTAAATTTTAAACTTAAGGTTTATTTCGGCCTGACGTAAAATGATTAGATTTTGGACAAAGTCGGAACATCTAGGGGGGTACTTTATGGGAGGCCGTTTTTATATTTTATGGAATATATCTGTTATTTATGTTTGGAGAAGAAAATTGTTTAAATAAAAGTTACTTCTAATAGTATTATCTATAATTTTTGTTTTATGTTAAAATTTCCTGAAATGGTCCGTAATGGAAAAGTGCTAAATTTAAATTTTTCAGTATTTTCGTTTTCAATGAATATAGAAAAATGTTTCGAGGTAGATGTATGTGGACAATGTATATATTTAGTTTATCCTCTAAACATTTATAGAGATGCTGCAATAGGTTGTACAAAATAACCGGAAAAAGCCTATAAAAACTAGATAGGAAAGTCATGTGTTGGACATATCAGATTTTTTAATGTAGATGTATGTAGATTGATGAAAGATATTGGTTTTGAATATGTGAAGCGTGGTCGTAAAAGTATAATGTTGGCATGAAACATTATTCACAGGTATTTAAGAGCCATCAAACAAAATTGTAAAGTTATCTATTTGGATAAGACTTGGGTCAACGTGGGTCGAACGGTTAACTATGCATGGTGTGATCATAAAAAATCGTAGAGATGCATTAATAATGGGTTTAACCACAGGCCTCAAAGCACCTACACAAAGAGGTCTACGTTTCGTTATTGTTCATACAGGATATAAAGGTGGATTTTTATCTGGCGCCGCGCGTTCTTGTCAAAGAAAAACGATGGTAATTATCATGACGAAATGAACGCCGACTATTTTGAGCAATAGTTTGAAGAGTCGCTGAATCCTAATTCGCCCAAAAATTGACGAAAGAACTTTATTGTTGCTTCGTATCATTTCCGTAAATTTAGTTTTCCAGCTACCTCATTGAACAAACCCGAAATAAATAATTGACTGTTTAAGAAAAAAATATTTTCTTTGACGATCCCTATTTAAAATCTGAGCTGCTTGAAGTAGTCCAATCAACATTTTGAAGGAAATACAGAAATTTTTGATATAAGTCACTTAGAGTATTTGAAAACGATATGTAAAAAAATTGTTATTCTGGCCCCGGCAAGTGGTGAAAATCAAGAAAATAAAGTGTTTTTAAAGTTATTTAAAAACGGTAGGTGTTATAAAAAAAGTTCTTAATTAATAAAGTTTGTAAAGCATTAAGTTTTACATAAAAATGATATTTAGCATTTTTTGCTATTATCAAGACTAACAGAGTGGTTAGAAGTTATTTTTTAGTTTCTTTTCAGAAAAAATTTTTTTTTGTTTTTTTTTTTTAAGTTATAACAATTTCAATTTATAAATTTTCAATATATTATACGACTTTATATGGTAAAATACATTTTAAAATGAACTTATTATGGCTTGCCTCCCATGAAAAATATGAGGAGTGAACTAATAAAAAATACATTGCGACAGTTTAGTCCCCCCTTGACGTTCCATTAAATAAATCAAAATTAATAAAAAATATTAAAATAATAAAAAATTAAATAAATAAAAATAGGTAAATTAATAAAGATACTTAAATAAGTAAATAAAAATAAATAAAGATAATAAAAAAGGTAAATAAATATATAAATAAAAGAAAACAAATATAAATAAACACAAGTAAATAAAAATAATTAAAAATAAATAAAAATAAGTAAATATAAAAAATAAATAAAATTAATTAAAAATGAAAAAAAGTAAATAAAAATAATTAAATAAAAATCAATACATAAATAAAGATTCTTAATATAAATAAAATTAATTAAAAATAAATAAAGATAATAAAAAATAAGTAAATAAATATATAAATAAAAGAAAATAAATATAAATAAATACAAATAAATAAAAATAAGTAAACATAAAAAATTAAAATAAATTAAAGTAAATAAAAATAGAAAATGTAAGTAAAAATAAATAAATAAAAATTAATTAAAAATGAGTAAAAGTAAAAGAAAATAAACAAATATAAATAAAAACAAATAAAAAGAAATATATAAATAAAATTAAATAAAATAAATCAAAATATATATAAGAAAAAAAAATATTTTTTTAAAATATATTTTTCTATGCAATCAAGCACTTTTGTTAGAAGCTGATTTTTTTAGACATATTTGAGTTTATTTTAAACATAATTATATTTTTTCTCATGACATTTTGATAATTTTTATTTTTTAATTTTATTTCCTTATTTATTTTTATTTTTTCATTAATTTTATTTTATTTATTTAATTTTTTATTATCCTAATTTATTTTTATTTTTTTCAATAATTTTTATTTAGTTTTATTTTTTTATTTGTTTTTATTAATTTTGATTTATTTATTGGACATTCAAGTTTGGACTAAACTGTCGCGATGTCGTTCTTATTAGTTTATTTCTCATATTTTTCATGTCAGGCAAACCATAAGAAGTTCATTTCAAGATTTATTTTACCATATAAATTTTATAAGTTAAAAAAAAAACAAATAAAAAAATAACTTTTCTGAAAAGAAAGTTTATTTTTTTATGAGTAAATAATGAAAAGAAAATAAAAAATCACTGAATTTTCAGTTCGCTATGATTTTTTAAAGTCATATATATCTTCTCTTCTAACCACCCTAACTCTGTTAGTCTTGATAATAGCAAAAAATGCTTAATATCATTTTTATTGTAATACTTAATTCTTCATAATTTTTATTAAGAACTTTTTTTATAGTACCTACCGTTTTTAAATAACCTTAAAAATCACTTTATTTTCTTGATTTTCGCAACTTGCCGGGACATGAAACACAAAATTTTTTACATATCGTTTCAAAATTTTCTCAAGTGACATATCAAAAATGCCTGTATTTCCTTCAAAATTTTGATTTAAAGATCTATTTGATTGGACTATAGTTGCCAAGGCATGCAGAAAGCAATACGACAAATATAAGATTAAGGAAATAAGTTTCAAAATACGGGGTAACAGTTTTATACTTAACCGTATCAATGCGAGCTTAACCTGATCGAGATGGTATGGAATCAGGTAAAGCCACATACTTTGATTACTATACGGTGCAAGAGAGAGGTCCGACACGACCAACATAGGGCGCGGCCGTTTTGATTCCTATGCCACAGTTTATAGCTAAAGAATCAGATCGCTCACTCTGCGTCGGCACTTTTGATCTCAATGTTCCAGTTTATACACTGCGCAACTCGGATAATACAATATATAACAACCGCCTATAATAAAACAGCAGACTTCTGCGTATCCTAAATTTGTATCCCTGGAGTGGATATTATTTTGGAACTTTCAACTGGTCCGAGTGAGCTAACTGATTCTTTAGCA